AAACGAATTATTCTCTGAAATTAGACTAAGAGAGCATATGATTAGCTCCATAAATACGGATAATAATAATAACCTTAAGATTATTGATTATCATATAATAATATTAATGAACATATTTAAATAATCAAAAGGAAAAAAGTTTGTTAAGCCGCGCCTATGGAGCGCAACATTACGTCTGAATAAAAGTAGAACCCAGCCAATAAAAAAAAAGATTAATAATAAAAGATTTGAAATAAGAAGAGACGAAGCCACATGCCTTGAACCAAAGTTACCGTTAAGTCTATGTGCCAGACTTGGAAGTAAATCGTTTTCTTCTCATAAATCCAACGGTCATATTGTCATCCTACCCGTTCTTTCTTTCTTAAAAAAAATAAAAAATAAAATAAATATATTTGTTTCTATCTTCCTCTGTCATAGTCACTTGCTTATATAGTTCCCTTGTTCAGATTCGTCTGTATCAGACTAGGATCTCTTCGTTTAATGCTCTTCTTCTAGTCTCTTTCGTGGGTTTTCCATTGGAAGAATCAAAACAAACAAAAATGGTTAACTCGTGTGAGAACAACATCGTCGTTGAACCCACTACAAGGTCGATTCTTCAAGGTAATATGATAATTATCCAGAGTAATATGAGAACTTGAGGTCTTGGCAATGGAGATATTCTGACATATGTGTGTCGTGTCATAGATGAAACGAGAGGTAGGAAGTTCGGACAAGAGATGAAGAGAGAAAAGAGGAGAGTTTTGGGTGTGATTAATCAGAATCTTATTGGTGCAAGAGGCTATCCTTGTGTTGTCAACAAGAGAGGAAACTTATCCAAGTAAAATTCAGCAAAACCTCTCATCTCTGTCTCAAGTTCTTGTCTTTTAGTTTGATTTGTACTTATGGGTTTTGGATGAATATGAATCGGTAGGCAAGAAGAAGGATGTCAAAAGAAGAAACTTGATCCTCAACGATCCTCAATCACAAGGCATAAAGCTTGAATCTTTAGGCTTTCAATTTGTGTTTTGTCTTGATTCGATTTGACAGAGAAGATGTTTTTTTTTTTTATATTGCAGATCACGAGTTGAAGAACTGAAGCCAGCAGTTCTGAGTACAGACGATATCGTTGACTGTTTATTCGTTGAGGATGAAGAAGAAGCTACATTGGACCATCCAATGCCAATGTCTCTGGAGAAGCCATACACAAGCATCACTGAAGCTGGTCCAATGGTAAAACACAAATCAATCCAAAGATCTTAGCTTTGAATGCAAATCGAATTAAAACAAAAAAAGAGTGAAATTAACAGGAGGAAGTTGAGATGGAGGATGTAATAGTGGAAGAACCAATCTTGGACATCGATGTCCCAGATGCCAAGAATTCACTTGCAGCTGTTGAATATGTCCAGGATCTATACGCATTTCACCGTAAAATGGAGGTAAATTTTGGTTTACTTGTTACGTGTCTTTGAAGCAACAACAGGTTTGAGTTTTGCCTGAAAATAAGTTTTTTTTTTTTGCAGAGATTTAGCTGTGTTCCAGTAGATTATATGATGCAACAAATCGATTTAAACGAGAAGATGAGAGCTATACTAATCGACTGGTTAATCGAGGTGCATGACAAGTTTGATCTGATGAACGAGACACTGTTTCTCACGGTTAATCTGATAGATAGATTCTTGTCCAAGAAAGCTGTTATGAGAAAGAAGCTTCAGCTTGTAGGGTTAGTGGCTTTGTTTTTAGCTTGCAAGTATGAAGAGGTTTCGGTCCCTCTTGTTGAGGATTTAGTACTCATTTCAGACAAAGCTTACACGAGGAGTGATGTTCTAGACATGGTAATGACTCAATCTTGTCTCATTTATACTTCACTCATTTCTCTTATAAAATGGTTATGTTCTCTCTTCAGGAAAAAACAATGTTGAGCACTTTGCAATTCAATGTCTCGTTGCCTACGCAATACCCTTTCCTGAGAAGATTCCTTAAGGCAGCTCAAGCAGACAAGAAGGTAAGTTACAAGAATGATATAATCATTTCAAATTGAATTGTGAAATGTAGAATAATGACTAGAGTGAAACTGTATCTAAAAACCAGTGTGAGGTTTTGGCGTCATTCTTGATCGAGCTTGCACTTGTGGAGTATGAGATGCTTCGGTTTCCACCTTCATTACTAGCTGCCACAGCGGTGTACACTGCTCAATGCACACTTGATGGTTTCAGGAGATGGAACAGTACATGTGAATTCCACTGTCAATACTCTGAAGATCAACTCATGTAAGTCTCTCTCTCTCCATCTCATCAAAAGAAAAACTGATTCTCCCACCAAGACTGATCCTTTTCGTCCATATACTGATCTTTAACAAATTTTTATTCTGTGGTTTTGCAGGGAGTGTTGTAGGAAGATGGTGAGTCTTCATCAGAGGGCAGCGACAGGGAGATTGACCGGAGTGTATAGGAAGTACAGCACATTCAAATTTGGGTACATAGCAAAGTGTGAAGCTGCACACTTTCTTCTTTCTTAGTCTCTCATCCTTAAGGCTGCAAAGACAGCAATATTTTGTGCAGCTCTGTTGACAATAGCTCCTCGTTTCCTCTGAAACACAAATAACACACCCCAAAAAAATGAACCAAGAGTTCAATTTGTCTGAAGCTTGATTCTAGTTCCTTTTCCTTGTTCACTTTGACTTTCGATTTACTACATTTTACATAAATTCCATAATAATCTAGTTAATCTCTAAATAACATCATCACCAAATACAGTATTTTTAGAGTGTGACATATCATGTAGTCATTATATATAGTTTTTTTAAATGTGTCATTTTTAATCGCTAGAAAATGCTTTGAAATTTAATTCATGATTTTAAAATTGACCATTAGTTATGGTTCAAAATGTACTCATGATTAAAAAAGCATATTTCTGAACTATATATGATGTAGTGTTAAAATATTTGAATTCGTTATTAGAAAAATAATTTTTTAAATATTTATGTATTATTTAATTTTTGTTAAAGTATTAGATTTAAATATTAAAACATAAATTATGGAAGATTTTGTTAAGAAAACTCTTTTTTTTTTATAAATAAAGAGAAGTCACAACTTCTATTCATGTGTGATATTTTTAAAAAATGGACCTTCCTTCAAAAATATTATTTCATTTAATTCTTATTAACATATTGACATCATTAAAATATCACATCTTATTTAATCAACACTTATAAAAACTTCACCTATAAAATTGTTTTAATTTTATTTCTAACTATATAAATTCTGTTGAAAAAAGAATCTAACAAATCTTAGAAAACAATTTAAATATTTTTATATAATAAGGCATTAATTAATTTCCTAATTATTAGTATAAATTATTTGAATATAAAAATAGAATTATTTATATAAAATTCTATATACTAAAATTATAGATGCTAAATTATATATTTTAAACACAACCAGGAAATATAAATGATCCTTAACAAATATTTATTCTATTGTATAACTATATAAAATTTAAAAATATTTTGCTTGCTAACTGTAGAAAAATGTATAAACGTATAAAAAATATTTTTGAAAAAGGTTACCTATTTGATTTTCAAATTATTAATTTATTGTACCAAATTTGAAATTATATTCTTATGTAATAACAATTTATGACAAGTTAAAATGTTTGAAAATATGTATGTATTAATAGTGTCAAATAAATAAAACAATAAAATTATAAGATTACATTATATATATCATTAAAATGCAAATCATATATTTAAAATAATTTAGATAATACCAAAGTTATACATTTATAATATAGGCAGAAAAAAGTATTCAACAATAAAAAAAAAGGTTAAAGTCTTTCTTAGATTGAGAAAAATACATATGTTTTTTTCTCCAAAAAAGATATTTTCTATGACTTTTGAGAACAAACTAATCTTATAAATTAAAACAGAAGACATGACTTCACTTCATGTGAGATTTTTTTAAATATAGACTTATTTCTAAAATATATCAAATTTTACATAAGTTCATTATTATATCTTTTAATATCTTTATATTTTTAGATGCCCATCATTTTATTTGAACTATAAACTAATATATTTAAAATGTTCTAACAAAATATTTTAAAAATCTCTTTACAATCTTTTTATAATTTTACTTAAATTATCATAAAATATAATTAGAAATTAAAATTGAATTTAGTTTTGGTTTATAAATGAATATTAAAAATTCAAATTTTTAATCATATTCACTCATAATAAAAATGAAACTGATTAATTTCAAAATACATACTACTAATAATTTAAAATATTTGTTTAAAATAAATATTTATTTTGTTTTAATTGTCTTAAATATATATATATATATTCTATTAAAATAAAATTCCTGATTTCTTTTCTGTGTGTTATTTTTATTTTGACCATCATTTTTTTTATTAAATGTATATCCTTAGTGCTAATAATATAAAATATTTTTAACTACTTTAATTTAAATACATACATACATATATATTCTAGCAAATCTGTTGAAAAAGCTTATAACAAGATCTTAATTGTCAAAAATTGAACATAAATATTTTCACTAACTTCATAATTAGTCATGTAATGTTATTATACATTAATATAGATTTATATGTATATTCAACTATATTTTATAAGTTGAAAATATTGAAATTATACCCTATTTTATCTATTTTCTAATAATATCCATCATCTTAAAAGAAAACCATTATATTGAACAAAATATGATAAAGTTTTTTTAAATTGATAAGTTAATATATTTAAATTAATAAATATAAAATACTTATTCTAAAATATAATATGTTCGTAGAACGGTTAACATTCGTAAACTATATAATTCATGTATAAAAGTCAGTTTATCTAAACTTCTTACATATATTAATTTATTATATAAAATGATAAAATATAAAAAATTGCTAATCTAGCGTTACAGATTTCGATCATAATAAATTATAAAGAAAATAATTTTCAAATATGTTGTTTCATACATAAGATATTGATTTAATAATACAGCGTAAATTCAATAAGAAAATATATAATAAGAAGAAACATATATATGTGATGATTTGAATTTACAACATAAAAACTATAAAATTATTATATTTCAAATAATTATACAAACATTGAAATATGGGAGTAACATTAAAAATATATATTTTTAACCCGTAAAACAAATATTTATATAAACATGAAAATATATATCCGCACGGTTGTGCGGGTCGAAATCTAGTTAATTAGTTAAATGGTATGTGGGCATGTGTGTGTTGTGCAAGGTAAATATTAGGGCAAGGATTTAATATCCGCTATCCGTTATTCGAATTCGTATTCGCTCTACAAAATAGACATCCGAAATGATTTTATAGATCCGGATAATAAAATTTTAGGTCTGTATCTGGATAGTAAAATTTTACTTTTGAATCCGAGCAATTTACCTAAATTAACTCTAAAACTACTCATGATTTTTTTAGAAAAAATTTTTTACTTTTTTTAACTTTTTTCTAAAAAAAGAAATTTAATACGAACCATTTGTGGATCGCCACGTATCATTAGGTACCACAAATACAAGAAACACTCAATAATCTGTTTTTAATTCATAGTTTTTGGAAAGTATTACTCTGAGAAACACAATATGAGTTATCAATTACTCTAAAAGACACAAATTGAATTGACACACTTTCTTTTTGTAATTTTACCAAGATAACCTTAAACCTTTAACTAATGGGGTTGACAATATCATTTGTCTTTCCAACCAAACAAAAGAGATCTACTATTTTATTTTTTATTTGTAAAAACTTAAAAAGATAATCCTAACTTTTTTCTCCCCTCTCTCCTCCCTCAAATTTCTGGATCTAGAAATCAAATTTCAACACTAGTTCTTTCTCCTCATGTCGTCGGAGCCATCACTTTGTTGATCAAGCTTTCTGACTCCACCTCTAACTTTTTCTCGATCTGAGACTGCTCCACCGGATTAGCCTCTCCAGCTTTTCATCCTCGACCATTGGTGAGTCGCACCATGAATCCAGAAACTCCAATCTATTCTCAATCATGACTCTCTGTTCCTAATTTCATAGATATATCTAAAAATTTATATATAAAAAGTTACTTTCTTATCTGAATTTTTATCTTCTTTTCTAGATCTGATTTTTGAAAATGACGTGAAGATGAATAAACTGATAATGGAAGTAGAAGAGAGAAAGACGTGAGGAAGAGACGGTGGTTGTGGATATTGTGATAGTGAATGTGATGGTGGATGTTGGATACGGAGGTGAAAGACGTGAGAAAGAGGAAGTGGTAGTGGATACCATGGTTATGGATGTGGGAAGGTGGTAGTGAATGTCGTGGTTGTGGATGTTGTGGTAGTGGATGTGGACACAGAGGTGAAAAAAGTGGTGGTGGATGAGAATACGGAGGTAGAAGATGTGATGATGGATGTTGGATACGAAGGTGGAAGACATGAGGAAGAGAAGGTGGTAGTGAATACTGTGGTTGTGGATGTTGTGGTAGTGGATGTGGACACAGAGGTGGAAGACATGATGAGGAGAAAGTGGTGGTGGATGTCGTGGTAGTGGATAATGTGTTAGTGGAAGATGTCATGCTATGATAAATGAAGAGTCAGATCCACAGTTCATCCGTCCACAAATCTTCTACCCATAACTCATATGTCCAAAAATTTATAATTTATGTTACATATTGTTTATCCTTAAAAAATATTTATTAATTATTAAAACATCAAAATGGATGTTAAACTATAAAAGAACAAAAAAATTAGAACAAACTATAACAAATACATTTATTTATGTATTTTAAATTTTGAAATATAATCAAAATAAGATATAAGGGGTGAATGTATAGTAAAAGTACAAAAAAATACAGTAATAAAATATTATCATCTATCGTTGGATCTTCTTGCTTTTAATAAAATCTAAAGACATGGAATTTTAAACCATTTGGTTACTTAAACCTAACCAGACAGAGAAAAGTAACTGGACGTGAGGGCATAATAGTCTGCAAAAAAAAAAACAGTTGTCTAAGAAAGGTGTGTCAATTTTTCAATGTGTTTCACAGGAAACTCAAATGTGTCTTATATGGTAAGTAACTCTAGTTTTTGTGATTGATTCTTGAGATTATTTGCTCCCACCCTTTTGGGAGCCTATATTAGGCAAATGCTCATGATGGGACTGATCCCTTTTTTATGACGAAATTGCCCTTTTCTCTCTCCTTTTTGCATGTGGGTGTGACCGTTTTTTTTCTCATTTTGGTTACAAACACTCTCTCTCTCTCTCTCTTATTCTTTCTTCAATTATGTTTGTTCTCTTCTCTTTTTCTTTTTTTCTCCTTGTAATTTAAATGAATGTTGAAAGAAAATTTGTTATTTTTTTATTTTAATCTACTTTGATTTTTAAAAAAGAAAGTTGAAAATCTATCAGTCTATTAACACCTCTGATATGTATACTTGTTAACAACTAACACCTCTGTTAACATCGGGAACATGTTTTTGTTAACAGCTAAAATCTCTGTTAACATCTACATTATTTATTAACAGCTAACATCTACGTTACCATCTTTGGTACATCTATTTGTTAACATCTAATATCTATGTTAACATCTACAATATTTATTAACAGCTAACAATTCGGGTACATATATTCGTTCACATCTAATATTTCTGTTAACAAATACTATAGATGTTAACTATCGATAATAGTGATTATTTTCGGCGATTTTAAAGAGACGTCAATAAATTTCCTTTTATTATGGGGTGTTTTGTTTAGTATGTCAAATGATTTTTAACATAAGAAAAAAATATATGGAAGAAAAAATGTGAAAATAAAGAAAGTATAATAAAAAATAAAGAGAGAAATAGAAGGAGAGAGAGTGTGGCTGTAAAATAAAAGGAGATAGAGTGTCAGTCAATTGTAAGAAGGGTATCAGTATCCAACCAAGCTCAAATTGTACAAAACTTTACAATTATGTCAATTCATGTGTAATCTCCCCTAATATTGACTTTCATTTTGGGCATTTGCCTAATTCTCTCTTGATTCTTAAGGACTTTGTGAGGCCTACACAATAAAAACCCACTAATAACCCCCTATAATCATGGTTTAAGAATTTAGATTTGGTCCTATTTGGTTCGATAACGGGTCCAAAACCAAATGTGGCCAGAATGATAGAAACAAAACCAACCCTAACCTAAGTGTTTGTCTTTGCCTTAGACGCTTCGTTTCCATCGATTCCTTCCTTGAATTAACCAGCGATTTCATCTTTCACTCTTTTACAGAAACATCTAAACTCTGGTGCAGAGAAGATGGATCATATTGGAAGTCTACCTGAGGAGGTTCTTTGTCATATATTGTCTTTCCTTACGACAAAGGAAGCTGCTTTAACCTCGATTCTCTCGAAGAAATGGCGCAATCTGTGGACACTCGTTCCTAAGCTCGACATTGACGACTCTGTGTTTCTTTATCCTGAAGAGGGTAAGCGAGAAAGAGACGGTATGCTTCAAAGCTTCATGGATTTTGTGGATAGGGTTTTAGCTTTGCAGGGTAACACTCCCATCGAGAAATTCTCCTTGAAATGCAAAACTGGCATTGACACAGATCGTGTGAATCTTTGGATATGTAATGTCCTCCAACGTGGTGTTACAACCCTTGACCTTGTCCTCGATTTTCCTAGATCCGACGACGACGACGATTTAGATTCAGATTACATGTATTTTCTGCCTGGAGAGCTGTTCGTTAGTAACAAACTGGTCGAGATGAATTTAAGAAGTGAGTTTGGTGTTGATTGGTGGCGTGGAGGTACAGAGACTTTCTTACCAATGCTTAAGACTCTCCGCTTTGAATCTGAGTGGGTTTTGTTATGTGATGAACTTGATGTGTTTCTCTCTGCTTTCCCTGCTCTTGAGGAGTTCTACATGGCTGATATTGAGTGGCCTGAATGGGACGAATCTGTGTCAAGTGCAAGCCTCAGGAAGTTAACTATCTATGCCGGCGGTTTCCAAGACTTTCGGAATCCGAACAGCATTTCTTTTGATACTCCCAATCTTGTTTACCTTGAGTATTCTGATTTTGTCGCGGCGGATTATCCTAAAGTTAACTTGCCAAATCTAGCTGAGGCTGTACTCGACTTTAAACTTACTAGAAATCAGGTTGAGCTAATACGAGCACCAAATGATGAAGATGATGTTTTTCTACGTCTTAGAAATGTGTGGAAGCTCATAAGTGGCTTAAGAAATGTCCAGAGACTTTTCTTTTGTGCTGAGACTCTTGAGGTCAGTTATTATTTCCGAAACATTATATGTTTTGAAGCAAGTGTTTTGTAATGTTGGAATTGGTTTTGTCTTGTTTCAGGTCCTTTCTCTTTGTTGTGAGTCGATGCCGGTGTTCAACAACCTCAAATTTCTGAGTATTATTAGTGACGTGGATCTGGGATGGCAAGCAATGCCGGTTCTCTTAAGGAACTGTCCACGTTTAGAAACTCTAGTTCTTAAGGTATAAAGCTGAAAACATTGTACAATGGTGTGCTAGTATTCTCTTATTGACTGGTTTCCTCTTTCAAAAGGGTCTCTTGCACCATGTGACTGACAAATGCGGGGATGTTTGTGACTGCATATCTCTGGAAGACAAAGGTCGTTCATTGTTATCATGCCCAGTGAAGAAGTTGGAGATCAGAGGGTTTCAAGGAACAGTTAGAGAGAAAGAGATGATAAGGCATTTCCTGGAGTCTTTCCCATGTTTGGATGTGATGGAAGTATATGCGGACCAGAATGCTAATGATCCTACAAACTTGGAAGAAAATAGATTTTATAAAATCATTGCATATAAGGTCCACGAGGAGGATGTCTCGACAGATACTGTGCTGAAGTCGGAGCTATTATTCAAAGGCAAATTGGTAAAGTCTGAGAGTATGCCCCAAACCAAGATGGAGGAGATCTCCTCTCAGGTATACTTAATTACATAAAAAACGATTACGGTTTTGAATTAACTAATCTGTATTTTTCTTGCTTTCTGCAGTTTGAGCCCCGCAACAATAGACATATGTACGACATGGTCTACATGTTGCATGGAGCTCCTCCTCCTCCTGCGCCACCGCAAGAGATGTCTCAGGACTACCTTAAAGAGCAACTTGATGCTGCTAAGATCGAAATTGCGAAACTTAAGGAGGATCGTAAGGAAAGTCAACGAATCCTAGATGCTTTGTTTGATAAAATTGTTGAGCAGAACCCAATGATAGCATCAGCAATAAAGGCTCGGCAATGTGCAACAGATTCAGGGGAAGCAGAGGCGTCGAAGGATCAGGAGAACAAGCGGGACTTCGAGGCTCTGTTTGAAATCATTGTGGACTTGTATCCAGATTTTGCATCAGTGTTGAGGGCTAGGCGTGGGGGCGGCTTAGAACGAGGGGAAACGTCGAGGGATCAGGAGGAGATGACCGAGCTCGACCAAACTACGATCCAAAGCTGAGGCAGCTGATCGTTTGCGTCGAGATGGAGACTAGATTTATCATTTATGATTGTGTGTTTTTTTTTTTTGTAAAACTTATATTATTTGTACTACAATTTACTATATATGTTTCAGTTAAGGTTAAAGTATTATGTTTGCTAATCAATACTATTAAAACAAGATTTTTTTTGTAACTAGGTATGGACCCGTGCGTTGCACGGGTTTATTTATTTATTTATTTTTTTATGAAAACATAAAAAAAAAGAATGAGAATTTTTTTACATCAATTTTAGAATTTAGGTGTATGTTATGGGACACATTTTTGAACTAAGAACGTATTTTGACATAATTTTTTATTTTTCTGCTTCATGTTTTAAAATAGTCAATATTTTTTTGTGTTTATTGATAATTATTTTTTGGATTTATTTCAATATAATTAAAGTGAAAGGACTAAAAAAATGATAACCATAAATAGTTTTATTTTGCCAAAACCTATAGCCCAGTCAAATTAGAAACTCAAATAACATTAGCAAAAATCTAGAATTGGATTTGTCCGTTGTCAGATTAATACAGTTTGTTGCATTCTTACAATATTGTCAACTTGGCAATATCATTGCATATCTATAAATTTCATTACCAATTATTTTACAATTATAGAAATGGAAAATTTTTACTAAAATTTTTTTAATTTTTAATTTTCTTAAAAATGAGATATTTTAACACATGTAAAATTTTTAAAAAGAAAATTACAATGAAATATTATTTTGAAAAGTTTAATATTAAATAGTAAAAATTATTTTACATATTTTTTCTTTAGGATTTTAAAAATCAATTTATCTTAAAAATTAAGATAAAATAACTTTGAAATTTATATTTAACATTAAATAATTTTGAAATTATTATTTTTAAATGTTATTGTTTCAGAAATTCATTTTTTAGTTTCATAGTATATATATTATATCCATGAAATATTCTTACACATGTCACATATTAAAAAGAAAAATATTCTTATTATGATTTTGCAAATATATTTTGCTTTAGATTTTAAAAATGAAAATTACTTAATATTTATAATTAATTATTAACAAATGATTTTTATTATCTACTATGAAACTTAAAAATGAATTACAGAAATACTATCTTATTATATACCCAATCAAGTGTTAGAAACATACCCAATCAACTGTCAGAATCATACAATTTTCAACAACCAAATTGTTACAATTACAGAATCATACTATCTTATTATATATATAAATATGAATATTACCATATAAATCGTTTGTTGAATCTTGCAGTTGAAGTAAATCTTCATAATTTTGAAATCAAAATTTTCCAAGCGGTATCTGAGATAATTGTTGAACCACACATGCAACTCATGTTCTCTTAGTCAATGTTATTTGAAATTTCACTACAAGAAAACAAAGCATTTACTAGGAAATTTTACTAGGAAAATTCTTCCTCGTAAATTTACTAAGCCTTTACTAGGATCTTACGAGGAAAGCAAATTTCCTCGTAAGTTCCTCGAAAACTTACGAGGAAACACTTTCCTCGTAAGACCTTAGTACATTTACGAGGAGATTACGAGGAAAAAGTACTTTTCCT